CAGACTTTAGGTTCTGACAGAATTAGTGATACACCCCAATTTACTAAGCAATCTTAGACTTATGAGTTTTCTGAATCTCTGATCTTCAAGACCATTTCACCCAGCTCATTCCGTTAAGAGAAAACAGAGGTCTGGATAGTGAAGGGGCTTGGTATTTCCATCGCTTTTTGCCTTTTTAAAATTTAACTGACCTATATTTAAAAAAATCAATATAATTAAAGTGTGTGTTCTTGTCCTTCAAGTAGTTATTGTTATTTATACTATTTATATGGTGGTTATTCATGTGGCTGCCTTCTCTGTTATCTCAGTTTGACCTGTTCTATTTATATCCTTATATTATTCCAGCATCTGCCTTCACAATCAGTTTGCATTTCTTCTGGGTCTTAAATTTCTAACATTTAAGTAGCCATTTCTCAATTTTCTTCACAGTATGTAGTGTGTATACTTTATATTTGTATTATTTGAATGTGTAACTCCAAGGTCTTCCTATAATTTAATCGTCCATTTGTAGGGAAAAAAACCAACACCTATTTTCTGTTCAGTAGCAAAAAATATGTTGTAAACAGTAGGAGGTTTATAATGTTAAAAGCATATTTATTTTTAAAATAAGGAAGCATATTTACATGCCTGAATACAACCAATTTTTGTGCAATGGGTCTAGGACATTATTTCCTGCAACTCGATTTCATTTTATATACTGCCTTCTGTCTCATATTCTTTATTCTGGCCTTCAATCAGCAGCTTTCTTTTTCCAAATGCTTAGTACAAATTTGAACTGAATTACCTATGGTAGATGGAGAAGGAGGTATGCAAGGATAACTTTCATGACTCCTCTAGTTGAATGACTATAAACAATGCTAAAACTGCAATTTCAGGACATTCCACAGACAAAATTTTTATTTGTCTCATGTTTGTACAGTTTTTTAGTTTACTTGAAATATTGACACAGGTGCTAATGTGCATGCTTAGTTGAATTTGACTTTGTAACTCTATAATGAAGAACATTATTGTTTGTAGAAATATAGCTAAAAATACTGGAAGCAGTCCTTTCATTAAGTTATAAATAGCTGTTGCTTCCTGCCCCAAGAGAATCAAAAGCAAGTGTGAAGAGTGGTAGGTATCTCTCATGTGCAGTGAAGATGGGTCCTCCTGGGAAAACTTATACCTTATTCTATGTGCTTTCCACACAATTCCCTTTTGGGAAGATGTGACCTGCTTATTCATTTTTCCATGGATCATGTGCACATTTTTTCACTTGCAACAGGCCGGTAACTAGGCTGGCATCCCCCAACCTCAAAAAAAAAATCAGTTTTATAATGTTAAAGACATACTTTTATGGACATAAAACTCTAAAAATCTGTTTTAAGGAATTAGAAGTATTTATCATTCAGAGAAAGGAAACCCATGTGAAAACAACCAGAATTTTAGGATTAAGAGAAGCAATGTTACCCAGCAAGAAACAGTACAGCATAGTGGTGAAAAAATGGGGCCTGGATTGAGGTCTCCTGTTTATTTCTTTTTAAAAAATACTTTTTAAATTGATCTCAGAGAGGAATGGAAAGGGGGAGAGAGATGGGGATCAAGTCCACAGCCCAGATATATGACTAGGAATCAAACTGTGACCTCCTGGTTCAACCACTCAACCACTGAGCCACCGGAGAGAGCTAGATCTAAATCTTAGCTGCTATTTTTGCCTGCTTGATCTACCAGCTACTCACAGTGGTATATTAATTTCCCATTGTGATCTATTTCTCCTTCTCGTTTTGTCAATGTATTGTCGTTTTCTTTTTTTTTTTTTTTACCAGATTATGTAAATTCTAAGTTATATCATCTTGTGTATTGTCCCAATATCTCCTTATGAATTGCAGACTTTATCTCTACTTTTTTACTGCTTTCAAGCCTACTTTCTCTAATATTAAAATATCTTCTAATACCAGCTTTTGTTTGGTTAACGTGGTTTTAGGACAAATTTTTGCTGCTCGTTCCTACGTTTTTCACTATTTCTCTTGAAAGTGGATTACAGTTTTGTGCCTTATAAGCCTGTTTAATAATCTTAAACTTTAAAATACAAATTTATTAAGTTTACTTTTGATGTAATTGCTAATGTATTGTTTTATATGTACCATTTATAACAACCATATTAATATTTTAATATTAATTCTGTTTATGTTGTTTTATTTATGTTTTCTTACCTTTTGAATGAGACATTTTATTATATCAACTTTTTCTCTATTGAATTTTGATCATATGCTATTTCATTATTTGCTTACTATTTATCCTAGATATTAATATGCATTCTTGAGTTATTACAACCCAAAATAATTATCAGTTTTACCTTTCTCCCAATACTGCTAGAACATTAACATCCTTTAATTCAATGTGTGCATTTCTTGACTAGTGCATTATTGTTACTATGCATTTAAATTCAGCACACATTATAAACTTAACTAGAGGCCTGGTGCATGAAATTTGTGCATAAAGGGTGTGTGTGTCCCTCATCCCAGGCTGTACCTTCTCTAATCTGGGACCTCTGAAGGGATGTCCAACTGCCCATTTAGGCCCGGTCCCAGTGGGAGGGGTCAAGCCTGAATGGGAAGTTGGACATCTCTCTCCCAATCCAGGACTGCTGGCTCCCAACCATTCGCGTGCCCGCCGGTGTGATTGCCCCTAACCACTTCTTCCTGCTAGCCTGATCACCCCCAACCACTCCCCTGTCCACCTGATTGACGCCTAACTGCTCCCCTGCCAGCCTGATTGCCCCTAACTGCTCTCCCCTGTTGGCCTGCTCACCCCCAACTGCCCTCCCCTTTTGGCTTGATAACCCTTAATTACCCTCCCTTGCCAACCTGGTCACCCCTAACTGACCTTCCCTGCTGGCAGTAATATTAATTGGGATTATTTTGAAGATTAAATGAAATCGTAAACACCTGTTGAGTGCTTACTCTCTGGCAGCCACAGTTCTAACTTGTTCATTATGAGATAATATTTAATCTTCATAATAATTCTATACATTAATCTCCATCATAATCCCTTTTTTGCTTTTTAGAGAAGAAACTCAGACTGAGGATTTAAGCAACTACCTAAATGTACTTGATGGCGAGTGGCAGAGCCAGAATGTAAACCGATCTATAATGGCTCAGCAGTTCATGCTCCACATATATAAGAGGTCCAATTTGGTTCTTGACACCCATTAGGAATGTAAATAGTTTTTAACCTTGTACTTAGTATGGGTTACCAAAGATTTTAAATATATTCAGAGTACTATTTCACAATAAGTTGATTATTCTGTAAATATACCATCAATTTAGTTGACTAAAAAAGAGAATTACTGCAAACAAATATGGTGTGAAATAATTTTTCTATTTCCCAAATATAAATTTGATCACTCTGGTATCTTTTTGAGTCTCAATTCCTCATATTTAGAGGAATTCTTATTATACATAATTTCATACTAATTTATCAGATGTAATCTTCATAGTATAATACCATCATATGCCTTTTATCGTACCATCATATGCCTTAGTACCATCATATGCCTTATATATATCAAAGACTTTTGAAGATATATAAATTACAAGCTGTGGAAATAGCTTTTTCAGGGAGTTTAATTTATGAATGATCATGCTGAGAGTACATGGTGTGAAATTTGAAAGAGAGAAAGATAAATGCTCTCTTTTCATTAAGTACTAGTTTCCCAAATACAGAGGTTAGAGGGTATGAGGTATCAGGTGCTCCTCTTTTATTCCATTCATCAAAGTAACAATAAGGAAGAGATTCTGTTGGAGGTAGCACTCTCAGTTAAGTCACCCATAACTGAAGAGAGAGAGTTGATGTCAAGAGGAAAAAAGGCCAAGTCAAGAATGAGACATAGCTGATAGAAGTTGACAAACAGAAGGGTCATGTTTTTAAATTCTACTCCACACTTTTGGTGAAAATGATAAGCTACAAAACTATTCACCTATTAAAAGATTTCACTTTTTGTGAGCGTTATCTTTCACAAATGTCATGTACCTTCTGAAAAAAAAAAAAAAAACACAGAGTAACACAAATAGTGAGATGCTACTTTATTCTCATTCTCTTTTTTTTGCAAGATGCTTGCAAAAAATACTTTTAAGCCAAAACTGGTTTGGCTCAGTGGATAGAGTGTCGGCCTGTGGACTGAAAGGTCCCAGGTTCGATTCCGGTCAAGGGCACATACCTTGGTTGCGGGCACATCCCCAGTGGGGGGTGTGCAAGAGGCAGCTGGTCGATGTTTCTCTGTCATCGACGTTTCTAACTCTCTATCCCTCTCAATTCCTCTCTGTGTGAACTCAATAAAATATATTTAAAAAATACTTTTAATACAAATAATTTTGTATTAAATTTGCATTAATAAGTATTTGGGGCTTCTAATACAATAAGTGGCATAAACTTGTTTAAAAGAATTCTGATTTCTGAATTAATGTAGACAAATTAATATAATTTTACCCAATGCTTAACTTTATGGTTATATGTCAATACTATAGGCCGGATGCATGAAATTCGTGCAAGAGTAGGCCTTTCCTTCTGGCCACCAGCAGGCACCTGACACCCTGGCTTCCCTCACAGCCTGGGGTTCATCCAGAAGGTTGTCCAGAAGTCTGTCCAGTCTAATTAGCACATTATGCTTTCATTATTATAGATAGAAGATTGTTCTGGAACTGTGTAAAATGTTGAAGGATAATATTCAGTTCTTAAGTCAAGATCTATATATACATAGGCACTAAAAGAACAGTCACTAAAGATGAAATTATGTTAAATTTAGTTAGTAATACCAAGATAATTTTGCCAGTATGGATTTCTCTGTAAGAGCATCTCCCAAATATTCAGTTCACAGAAAAAAGTAAGCACAACCTCCATGTACTTAAACAAATCACAGGTGAACACATGTAAAGACATATATACACACTTAGAGATGCAGAAAAGTTTTGACATTTTCTCTATTTTGTAAGAATTGTGTGGTTATTCTTCCTATTTACCAGGTGGTATTTTTGAATATGTGGAATCCGGCCCTATGGGAGCTGAGGAACTTGCATTCAGATTTGCTGTGAACACCATCAACAGAAACAGAACCTTGTTGCCCAATACCACCTTGACCTATGACACCCAGAAGATAAACCTCTATGACAGTTTTGAAGCATCCAAGAAAGGTAATTGATAGATATTTAACATTATGTGTCCTGGATTTCAAATTTCTAGGTATTCTAAAGAGATTTCTTAATTTCAAATATAATTAAACTAGAGGCCCAAAGTATGAATTCTTACATGGGGTATGGAGTGGGGTATGGGGGGTCTGGCTTGCCCACTCTAAGTGGGGGGGAGATTGGAGTTAGTGCCAGCCTGGGGAGGTGCCTCAGGCAGTTGGATGGCTGGTCCTATCCCTGGTCAAACTTCCAGTCCAACTCTCTGTAAAGGGGACAATTTGCATATTAGCCTTTTATTATATAGGATTGTTAGGAACATTTTCAAAACAGATTTCTTTTCAAAATGCACCAAAAATTATCAAGGAAATTAAAGTGATGTGACTACCTGTGGCAAACAACTGTGCTTATAACAAGAAATGCAATCAAATCTGTAAGAGTAAAATTGTTTTTTCAATTGATTGATTATCAGTCAATTCCATTATATTATTACTGTGGTCCTAATTTAATGTATACCTTGAAAATCCTATAGTTCCACATGATCTCTAAGCTTTATTAGAAAATTTTGCAAACAATCTTTAGTTTATATATAATCAGTGCCCATTTTTTAGCCACTTGATGTTCTTTCTTGTAACTGAAAATAAATGACCAGTGATAAAAATTGGATTTTTTGAAGAGACAATTAGCATGCTTTATTAATTTTATTTTATCATTAATGTTATAACACTGTGCTTTAAATGATCAGTTAATTTAACATTTATATATGAAGAAAACTAATAGAAAAACTATTACCAAGGCATTCTTTTAGCCAAAGGACAGTAAATGTGTTTGGAGAGATGGTTCAATATTCATACTCTGTTTAAGTAGGGTGGGTTTGTTTTTTTTTTGTTTGTTTTTTTTGGGGGGGGATCATAGATAGCGTTCATGTAACAAGAATTAAATTTCATAATATACATTTTCTTCCAAATAATGGACTTACAAGCATTTGTTCTAAATCTCTATTTTTTAATAGCTTGCTTTTCTGTCATGCTAATATAGTTTTATTAGCTACCTTACACTGAGGGAATGTACATAATTATTTATAATTCTACCTTCGTGAAGATTTCTTCCTAAACTCATTAATATTAATGAAAGCTGATAAGATACAATATTTCTTGAGATCAAAGAATCCTTTTCCCCCAGCTATGTAGTGTTTATAAAATCCTATATTCTGTCTGCCCTTTGAATTCATATCTTTATGAATACAAATAAGTTTCCATATTTCAGAACCATGTCAGAGAAAAAAAAGGGTAAAGTTTATTGAGAAATACTACAATTATGATGATGATTGCAAAATCAGTCATTAACTGGAAGACAGTGTATTTTATTTGTAACATATTAAGAAGAAGAAGCTCTGTCTCCTCTGAAATCATTTAGACCAAATAATATGAAATATGAGTGCAGAATACATAAAATATTAATATGTTTCTTAATGGATTTCAAAGGTGCAACATAAAAAGGAAAGACTAAAATGTTCTAACAACAAACAGGTTACTGTCCTGGGAATACACTATCAAAATTATGAGATGTTAAATGTGTTTTGTTTCTAAATATTAAAAGGAATTTATAAATTTTGTCATCCATTGGAAATCAAATTCATTAATTGACTTTGAGAAGGAAAAACTCAAATAATTGTATGAGTAACTTCATTTGTGTGATATTGAAAGTGTGAATGTCATGGTTTGGGTCTTACCTTGTGAAGCTCTCGTATGGCAAATATGTAAAAGGATACAGTAAGGGTTATCTAATCCAGTTTTTTAACTTCATAGGGTAGTTAATAAATATGTGTTGCTAAGGATATTAATAGTTAATTATAAAATAACTTAATTATTTTGGACATTCCTAAAATGTTTTAAAATTTATTTTCATATGCAAAAAATAAAAACTTAACATTTTAAATTTGTACATATTTTTTGATATATGTATGGTCTTACACTTTTAATAGGTAATATGGTTTTGTTCAATAAGTGGATATTTTGTAGCATTAATCCTTGAATTATTATTTGAATAATACAGATTTTACATAACTCTTCTGATAACTGAGCACTCTAATTCTTATTTGAAATACACTTAGTAACGTTCTAAATAACCTAATGTAATGTTTTTCATTTTCTTGATGTGTGACTTGTCAAAAATTTAGTGAAAGAAGATCTTTTATTCTCAATGTATGTGAAATAAGATCCAAGTGAGTGAAAAATTTTAGACTCTAGCCTTTCTGTTGTTTCAGAATTTCAATCATGATTTTAAACAAGTGGGTTTTTTTCAACTAAAATTTACTCAGTTATTAAATATCTCTATTAAATATCTGTCCAGTACATTGCATTTTATTCAGCACATTGTCTGAAAGAAAATACAAGAATATTTTATACATCAGACTCATAAACTATTTTGGAAAGATTGAGTCTGAACACCTAAATCCCAATAACAATTCTTCGTTGTTCAGTTCAAATATTTGTAGGGATGGGCACCTTACAGCAGAAGACATTTCTTATTTTCTTTTAAATTTAATTTAAACTGCATCAAAATTTGTGAGAAGCTTCTAAACTATTTGTTCTTTTCCAGCCAAAGGAAGCAAACTTAAACATTTTCCACAGGCCAGGTATTCACATATTTAAAGATGATTTTATGTTTCCAATAACTACTCATTGTCTAGGCCCAAACTCACTTCAGTGTATCTTAAAGAATTGCAAGTCCTGTCACAATACATCTTTTCTCTAATCTGAAACCATCTAGATTATTTATTACTCTCTTGATTATCCTGCATATCATTGATAAGAATACATTTTTCCTGGAAGGAATATAAACTTTAAAAAATAAATGAGATCAATATAAAATACTTATAGTAATCCAAAAGTCAAATAAAGATGATAAAGATGATTAAACAGTTATCTAAATGATGTGATGTTCTTTCTACCCAATGAAATTAACCCATATGAAACCGGCCTTTTTCTCTTTCTTTCTTTCTTTTTTTCTTTTAGCTATATCAGGTTATGTGTAGATGGTTACATGCATAAGCTTGACTCTATTATAAGCAAAATCTTAGTTGTAGGTGGCCATAGGTTTTTTGTTGTTGTTGTTGTTGCTGTATTTTTTTAAATGGAAAGGGGACCAAGTGGGTTCTGATAAAAATAATTGAAATTGTAGGGAATGGCCAGTGGATTTGGGAAGGAACACTCTTCTCCCAACTCCATTTTAAGAAATATTCTTCAAAAATGAATAATTCCCTCTTGAATTCTAGAGGTAGTCCTCCTCTGTCTCCTGATCTCTCTCCTTCCCTTGACATTGTCTGCGAAATTATTTGAGCCCTGAGCTGCAGGTTCCTGGGTGAATTAATTTCCTTCTAAGAAACGGAAAATATGTAAAGTTAGGAAAAAATGTAAAATTTGCTAAATATGGATGTTATATTAAAAATAGACCCACACATTTTTTCTTCACAACAGTTCCTTATGGCTTCCATAAATAATGTGGGTGGGTTGGCACACTGGCATCACTCCTCATTATTGACAGACTTCTATCTCCTCCTCAGCCTGTGATCAGCTGTCCCTCGGGGTGGCTGCCATCTTCGGGCCTTCGCACAGCTCCTCAGCAAACGCCGTGCAGTCCATCTGCAATGCGCTGGGGGTTCCCCACATACAGACCCGCTGGAAGCACCAGGTGTCAGACAACAAAGATTCCTTCTACGTCAGTCTCTACCCCGACTTCTCTTCACTCAGCCGTGCCATTTTGGACTTGGTGCAGTTCTTCAAGTGGAAAACTGTCACCGTCGTATATGATGACAGCACTGGTAAGGAAGATCAGTAGCCTTTGGAGCACAGTTTTAAATGTCAATACTTTTGTTCTGAAACTTACTCAGGATGCTTACTGTGGTCTTGTTAAACAGAGGAATGGAAAGATATTTGGCATTAAATATCAATACTAATTTCACATTCAAACAAAACTATCCCAGTTAAAATCATATGCATTTTTATATTTATTGAAGAAGCACTTTTTTTTGTGAAGGATCAGTTAGTATCAACTGTAATTTTGGATGAAAGATGCAAATAGTATGAAATATGATGTTGAAATCTTTATCCCAAAAACATCTCTGCTGGGTTCAATAAAATTATTCAACTTAAGATTTCATAATTGGCTTTCAGTGAAACTTGTCAAGAAATTCAAGATTTTGTCCTTACGTTTTTTTCTAGCACTTTAGGTGCAAAGAATGTTTATGAAGAGTAATAACCTTTAACTATATTACAAACTAAAGTTTGAAAACATTTTTATCTTAGATTTCAAACAATGTAATATCTATTGAAATACTCATAATTTTGGAAATGTTTATATGTAGACATATTTTAGGGACATGAAAAATAAAATTTAGTAAGTGATATTGATTAGGATCTTTAGTAAACAATTGCTATGCTTTCTTGTTTTAATGTACACAATTTTATATATGAATGGTTATCTTTAATTATTAATTAAAATAAGTCCAAACTATAAATATAAAAAGATAAACAGTAAAAGTAAAGTATTAATTTTTCTTGCAGTTACATTGTTGAAGGATGTACATACTATTCTAGATATTATATTACTGATAAGGAATTTCATGCTTAGATACTTATCAGTGATCTAAATAGTGCTCTTTAAATTCAAATTTTACAATATATTTTTAAGTTAATATTTAATTTAAAAGTAAAATATTTATAAATAATAATTTTCTATGTGCATAGTTTATCTGGATTGTATAATGCGGTCATCCAGGGCATCCTCAGTTACAAACCGGTCCACATATGTTTAAGGATAGTCACATATAAATATGAATACATATGCATTATGAATCCCTGGGTTATTTACTTCTCTATTTCCTCTGATATACTTCAGGTGAATGATGCCCAAATATTACAGACCCTTATATACACACACACACACACACACACACGCACACACACACACACACATTTATATATGGTTGTTGTACATGTGATATTTTGTATTTATTTATTAATATCTTAAAAATCCTCAGAGGAGAAAGAAAATTAGTAAGTATTCATAATTTTTATGGACATGCAGTTATCTCTCAACACCCTTAGGGGTTTCCAGGACTCCCCGCCCCCAGGACTCCAAAATCTGCGGATGTGCATGTCCCTTCTATAAAATGGTGTAGTATTTGCAAATAAGCTAGGCATATCTTTGGCTGTATATTAAACCATCTTTAGATTACTTATAATATCTAATACAATGTGAACACCATGTCAATAGTTTTTTATACTGTATGGTTTAGGGAATTATGACAAGTGAAAAAACGGAACAGACACAACCATCATAGGCCTAACTACATAGTACACAATAGTAACAACATTTTCTTTGGACCCACAGTTGGTTTAATTCAGGGATGTGGGATATGTGGGTACAGAGGACTGATGATACCATCTTACTTCACTATTTGTGTGTGAGTGTGTGTGGCATTTTTATTTCATACATGTGGTTCTTGAGTGATTGAATTGACTCTAAGATAAACCCGTGGTTGGCAAACTGCGGCTCACAAGCCACATGCGGCTCTTTGGCCCCTCGACTGCGGCTCTTCCACAATATATCACGGCCTGAGCAAGCCTATTTTGAAGAAGTGGCATTAGAAGAAGTTTAAGCTTAAAAAATTTGGCTCTCAAAAGAAATTTCAATCGTTGTACTGTTGATATTTGGCTCTATTGACTAATGAGTTTGCTGACCACTGAGATACATGAAAGATCCCCTTCTAAATGGATTAATAAGCATATAGAAGTAGATTTATTTTGTATTTTTGAATATATCTAAAAGTCTCAAAGTATAGTTTTAAGGGTATAATTTAACAGAGAATTTTTAAACTTCCAGTGGAAAAATGTGAGTATTGGATCATGTGGGAGGGAATCCGATTGTAACTAGCACTGTGAACTGAAATGGAGGGGGGGGGCACACCAGATTTCACCACATACCCAATAAGATGAACGTTATTAATTCCATTATGGACTGAATGTATCTGCTGTTTACCACAGGACACACTGTGGCATTTTATTTATGTTCCCTTCTTCTCTGTCCAGATTCACTTACTATGTATGCCTTTCCTCCCATTTATATTCATTTCTATTTTGTTGTGTTGTCCAGTTTGATACATGGTAATTATACTTCCATCCAGTCTTTGTTTCCGCCCCTAAAACAGATGGGATGATAGATGAAATATAGTGCTGGAGTAGGGGAAATTCTTAGAATGATGTTAGCAGGAGCTGTTTATTTTTTATGATAATTAGCATTTGTTGTTGTCATGGATGAATGCTTTTAAACACCCTGAAAGTCTGTTACAGCTCTGAATGATGTCCAGAAATGATAGAAAAGAATTGGCTTCAGAAACAAAGCTGTGTTTCTGTCAGTCACTTTGGAACATATGATTCATTTTAACTAAAATCTAAAAATAAGTTGGGTAGCTGTCAGCTCGTAAGCAATTCCAGGATAAGTTGTGAATATCTGCTTTAAATTCCTGTACTTCATCTTTGTTTATAGATCAGCAGTCCATTAACGAAGATCTCTGGACTAGTAAATAAGTTTAGGATTCTATTTCTAGGTTGCTACTAAGTTACTGGTACAACTTTGGGAAAAAGAAGAAGGGAATGAAGGCCTGGGAAAGGGGCTGGAGTGGGTAGATAGAGAAGGTGGATAGAGTAGAGTGAGGGGTTGGAGAGTGAGATGATGTGGGAGAACATAATTATAGTGTGGCAAGTACGTATAGAGAAGAGAAACAATATATATATATATATATATATATATATATATATATATATATACATATATATATAGTGGCAGCTTAGAAGAGGAGCTTTTATTTATTTTATTCTTATTTTATTGTTTAAAGTAGTATGTATGTCTCCCCCCCCCCATTGACCTTCCCTTGGCCTCCCCTCCCCAACCACCCCCCACACACATGCCCTCACACTCCCCCTACCAGTGTCTTGTGCCCATTGGCTATGATTATATGTATAGGAATCTCTTTCACTGCCCGTGTAGAAAGAGTTCCAATTCAAGGTTCAGGTTCCAGAGAAGGGCCACACACAAATGAAGAGACTTGAGACTTAAAGAAATTCAACTTGGCCATATGGGGGGCCAGGCAGTAGTCCTACTCTATTGGGAGAACTACGACTGCTCTGGCCCTGTCATTCCTTTTATGGAGGCTTTGGGGAAACATCTTAGGCAACATAAACAGAAATTTACATGCAGCCCTTAGGCAGGAAATAACAGAAATTTCCACGGGACAAACAAGGCGGAGGCTGCTTCACCTAACAATATCTCAACTAAAGGTTAGAGCAATTAAGGTTGTTGACCAGCCTTCCTGGCTTCCTGTCAACATCTTTTTTTCATTGAAATTGATTTGTTTTCCAGCATATATGCATACATACAAGTCCTTCTGTAGAAGGAGGGGATGTTTTAAAGGTGCTTAAGAGAAATCAGAGGAAGTGTTTTGGTGAAGTTGATATCAGGAAGTTATCATGATGTTACAATAGGAATGTGTCAACTAAAGGAGGGGACTGAAAGGTGCAACATGTAAAGATGTGAGGATGCCTGAGGGAACCAGTTAATCAGGGAACTGCACGTGTTTCATTACTGAGCACCAGAAACACTAAAGATGAGGAATGATGAGGAAGAGTTTGTAAAAATCCAGGATAGAAACAATCACAAAAATTCTCTACTAGCTACTCTACCTCTCCTTCTTCCCCAAAATCCCCCTCCTGATTTCTGCATGTTTATAGTAGTATCAGTTATGTCTGTGTAACATGACCCTGCTTTCTAAGCCACCATTGAGTGTCTCAAGGATGGGCGTGCACCCATTCAGTTCCTTTCTTAAGAAGTCAGAAAAGGACACAGAAAGAGCAGGATCCTGGGTAACCTGGACTGTCAAGGTAACTGTGGCCTTTGGTGTCAAAATAATAATTCAGGATCGAAATCCTGGCTCTGTTGTGTAATTTTCAGCAAGTTACTTGACTTTAAAAGCCTGCGTGGACACATTTGTAAATTGAAGATAACAGATACTTAAGTGAATTGTAGTCATGACTAATGAAATATGTAAAGTGCCTTATAAACCCCACATAGTAGGAGCTTAAAACTGACAATACAAATGTCATAGGCTATGCACTATTTATTTCTTATTTTCTAGAAAAAGGAATTTTTATTAACTTTTTTTTTTAATACGGGAAAACTTATATGGAAAGATTTGAGATTATTTGCCCAAGGTTCCATAGCCAATAAATGGTAGAGCTGGGCTTTGATCCTCGGCAGTCGACTCCAGAACTCACTCTGTTAAATATTATGATACGTTGTTAGTTTTTTATTTTATTTTTATTTGATTCATTTTGCTGTCATTGTTTAAAAAAGAGAGACACAATCAGAATTACTTTTGGCAAAGGCTCTCTGACTATAGTGTGACGAATATGTTGGAGCTACCATGAGAAGGGGGAAATAGGACAAGACCAAAAATAAGAGAATTTCTGGATTACTCAAGTTGAAGAAAAGAGTACCAGTCACACTCGGGGAGATTTTGATGAAGTGATGTGGAGGTAGAGAATTCTCCGAAGATTTGCCAGTTACAGGTTGTAGGGATTTAATAAATAAACAAGAGGAAGGAGTGATGCAGACAGAGAAAAAAGGAATGAACTCTATGTTTCTATACTGGGCTACTAATCAATGGCACATTTACCTAAGTGGGGAAGCAATAAAATGATATTTGGGAGATGGTATAGTAAATCTGGTTCTTAACACATTCATTTTGAAACAGCTCTGAAATAT